TATTTAAGTAACGGAACAAATATCTCAGACGACTAGTTATTTAGTTGTGGAAACTTATTTTTTCCCTTTCTGCAGGAAAAATGATCTCTGTGTTCAGAGCACTGCAATTTTCTCAGCAGAGGTTGTATGAAAAGTCATATGGCCTTTTCATCAAGTGCCGCAGAAGAGAAACGGCCTCTCCAAAAAGCCATATCCTGCTGTGAGCAGATGGAGGCTTTTTGCTACAAGAAGAGAGAAAAAGTCAAACCACTGGGCCTTGCAAATATTTTTCACAACAGAGTAGGAATTTTGGAAAAATTGATAACAGGTGATTGGAAATAGATGATAGCTAGCCATACTATGTATCTGCTTGGTAGCAAACAATCTACCTGCTGCTAAACTGCTGTAAATTTGCTAAAATTCGCCATAAACTTCTTATTAATCTATATGCCACAGCCGTAGTTCAAAGAGTATACCAATGTGATGGGTGAGTGAAAGCCTGAGTATATGTGTTTTACATGGCCTAGTTATTGCTCTTATGTGTTTCTAAATTTACTGTTACATTCTACTAAATTTGTTCTACATTGTGTACTATTTGGGGGTGCTTGAATAGGAGTACTGGTCATGCTCAGTACTAAATATTTAACATTGACGTGAAGGAATTTCTGAAAATTTAGATCCATTTATATAGGACTTTGGTTACTGAGCAGCTTGGCTGAAGTCTACTAGCAGGGGATTGGACCAGGTGACCTCCAAAGTCCCTTTCAACTCTGTTTCCTGTTTCTTAATTTGACTCTATAAATCAGAAGAAAACTGAACATCCAGGAAAAGAAATTGGAGGGGGGGGGAATTAGAGAATCAGGTTTGCACAATTGTAGCTCTCATTCCTGTCATTTCTGCCCCCTACGTATAAATTTGGCTCTACTTCTGTGTTCAGTAGAAATCTGTCTTTAAAAAAAAAAAGTTTTTGAAAAAAAAGTCTGTTTGTTAAAGGGGGGAGGGAACTGCCTGCTGCAGTGCTGTTCAAAGCAATGTGCAAAATTGAATACATGCAAAGCAAAATAGAAATGATCTTCTTGACCCTAATCTTGAAAGACATCAGAAACTCCATAGCTAACCCATTTTCTACTTTCCTTTTGCTCTGCGGTTACCTGGGATGTTTGCAGTGCAGCCAGATCAAACAGCTGATCAAGCTTTTTCACAGCTTGGCCTCTGTACACTTGACCTATTGAGAGCAAAGCAGAGGCCCAATGCTACTTCTACTGGCTGGATTAACCAACATGACTCAAGACTTCAGCACTCAGCGAAGGGAAAAAGATCCAGTGGGGATTCCAATTCTACTTTAGTTGAAGTTTTTGATCAATTGAGTTTATTGTTTTAACCTTAGACATGGTTGTTTGGACTGTGGAAGTGTTGTTTTAGTTTTGTACCGTATAATTGTCAGAATCACTGCTGTGGGATGGGTAGCCAAATAAACAAACAAACAAACAAACTTAGAATTGTGTACTTTGTAGCTACTATACAATTTGCTTCTTCAAGCAAATGGCACAAGAGTTTTAATAAACTTTGAAAAGAGACCCAGGGTTGTAACTCATAGTGCTACTTCAAATCTAGCAATTGTTCTGAATCTGAAGATAAGATAAGATAAGATAAGATAAGATAAGATAAGATAAGATAAGATAAGATAAGATAACCTTTATTGTCATTTTTATACTGTGGGCACAATGGCATACATCAAAAATGAAATTTAGTTGCCCACTCTCAAAGTGAAACACAAACATACTATGAATAATTTGTTCAAAAGATTAGAGATACTCCAGAGCAGACTACGGTATGCACACAGAGATGTGCCAAGCAGAAGAATAGTAGGTTACCTTATTCCTTGGGCTGAAATCTGCTTAAGATCATTCGTGGCTTCGGGGTGGACTTCCATCAGTACGCTGATGATACTCAGCTG